TCGAGATAAGCTACAAGAATATGCAATAAAAAATGGGGGTTTCCATTTAAGAAAACATTGATCACATTGACTTGGCCTTGAAAAGGTCATTCAAGATCAAGTCCATATTTTCATTATGTGTGCCCCTGTGAATCATACAACTTTTGTCTAAAACATTTTTATTTTAAACTTGTAGATGTTAAGATATTTCAGTGGATACATTAAAATGGCCGGTAAATATGCATATTAGGTTACACCTCACCGATGACTTTGACCTTGCCATATGTTGTCAAGGACATGACCCTGAGTAACTTTTCCTTATAACTTAACCGGCGGTTTCTTATAGTTTCTGAGATATTTAAAGTTATGATTTCACAAATTTATGTGTTTCATTGTTCTTTCCATTCATGTTTTCTTCATCTCCTTTGTTATTATTATCAATATTATCAATACTTAAAACTATTTCCGCAATACTCTTAATAAAATAAATATTAAATCTATTTACTATACCTGATTTATTACTCTCTTCTTCTTCTTCTTCTTCAAATTTAATTTCTTCGTATTTGATATTTCTATCCGTTTTTCCTCTAATTACTTCTTTCAGTGCTTTCCACATTTCAGTGGGATCATTTTTATTATTATCAATCATTTTTTCATAATATTCCTTCTTTTTATTTCCAATAGCTGTTACTCCAAGGTTTCTATATATTTTATATTGTTCCCACTCCGCTCTGTCATTTTCTTTTGTTGCTCTTTTATATGCCTTATCCCTTTCTTTTGTGATTTGCTTGATCTCCTCTGTATACCACTTTTTGTCAATCCATTTTGTGGGTATATTAAACTTCTTCTTTGGCGCTATTGTGTCTAGTGCATATACTATATCCTCAATTAATCCAACCACTTTCTCTTCTACTGTCTCATATTGCCTATTTTGCTCTTTTATACTTTTCCATGCCTTTTCAAATTGATCTACTGTTATTTTTCTATTTTCTCTCGCTATAAATTGCTTCTGTGTATCATAATTATTATATTTCCTAAGTAGTATCAGTACCCACGCATGGTCCGTTATCATCGGCGTTTGTTTTACGCATATTCTCTGTTTATTATTCGAAAAAACTAGATCTATTATTGTTTGGCTTTTCTCCGTAATTCTTGTTGCCTCCTTTACATATTGCTTTACTCCTAACGCTAATAATTCTTTTTCCAATTTTTTTGCATAAAATGTCGTTGTTTTCATGTCTATATTGAAATCTCCTAATATTACAAATTGTCCTTTGGTATTTAAATCTTCACTCCATTCTACCATCCGTTCCACAAAATCTGCATCTGATGCACTTGGTGAATGATATATAGCTACAACTGCTCCCGTATATACCTTTCTTTCATCTATCCACACCGCTACGCACCAATAGTTCCCTGTTACTTTTCTCCTGAATAGAACCTTATATTTAACTTTTTCTTTTATATATATGGTAAATATGCATATTAGGTTACACCTCACCGATGACTTTGACCTTGACATATGTTGTCAAGGACATGATCCTGAGTAACTTTTCTTTATAACTTAACCGGCGGTCTCTTATAGTTTCTGAGATATTTAAAGTTATGATTTCACAATTTTAATGATTTTTCTATTATAAAATAAAGAAAAATAAAGGTTGTTTACATTTACGTAGATCAGACGTGGGAAAAGTGTTTCTTTACATTTCCAGAGACGAAGATCTTTGGGTTTTTTTACTTTCCACGCAAAGAAAGGTTCAACGCAAACCTATGTGTCTAGTTTTTTGATAGTGGAGCCCACTGCGTTTCCGGAAGATATAATCTAACCCAAACCCCCCGTAGGGGGGGCGGAACTCACTGCGTCCACGCATATACTTTCTCATCCATGCAACAATTGTGGGGCGGACTGTCTCTCTGTCTCTATATTATTACCCAAATGTTACCTTTAAATATCTCAGAAACTATAAGAGACCGCGGGTTAAGTTATAAGGAAAAGTTACTCAGGGTTATGTCCTTGACAACATATGTCAAGGTCAAAGTCATCGGTGAGGTGTAACTTAATATGCATATTTACCAAATGGCCTACCCTGTATATAGAATTATTTATATTACTCTGTACCTGTTTGAAACATTCAACTGGAGCTGCTGTACTCTTTGTTTCTCTTAAGTAAAGATCCCAATCAAAAGTCTGATAGGTTTCATATTGAAATGGTCCAGTAGATGTTGATGGTGAATGAGATATGGTTGTGTGATTATTCGTATTTGTATAAGACTGTGTAGTTGATGGTACATTACTGCTACTTGGTAATCCGGATGGAGCAGGAGATTGTGCAGGTGATGCCAGATCCCTATTACCTATAAATTCCATATATATATGTATATATACACAGGGTGTCCTAAAACTACCATACCTCTTCTTAATAGCAGATTCCTTAGAACATTTTAAGACGAAAATCCTAATATAAAATTGTCGAGGCTATAATAGTTTTTAAACGGGAAGCGATTATATTTTACGAATAATAGGGCTGAGATTTCGCGCGCTCAGGCACGGCGAAATGACAAGTAAAAAAAGTGCTTCTACGAATGGAGCGCTTTTTTATAATATTATGATTATTGTATAAATTTACAATAGCATTGTCATTATATGTTTTCCCGCTTCTCTATACATTGCATTAGTACATTCTTTTTACGCATAATGGATGTAAGAACTAAAGGCATCTTAAAAATGATTCAAGTAAAAATTTGCAACATATTTCAATTTTAGCTGTCAAAGTGGTCGATCAATGTTACCATGAAGCTGTCTATTATTTCGCCGTGCCTAAGCGCGCGAAATCTCAGCTCTATCATTCGTAAAATATAATCCCTTTCCGTTTAAAAACTATTATAGCCTCGATTATTATAATCGACATTCTTGTATTAGGATTTTCGTCTTGGAATGTTCTAAAGAATCTGCCATTAAGAGAAAATACGATAGTTTTAGGGCACCTTGTGTGTATACATATATATATATACAGGGTGTCCGGTAAAGATTGTGCCAACGCTCGTGAGCGGCTAGAGCACAGTAAACTGAACAGAAAAGCCCATAGGAAATATATAGCCACTCACTTTTCTTTGTGTCAGCTTGGCTCTCCTTTTTTTGATATGCATTTAAACAGAATGAAGAGCAAAAATCTTTTGTTGAACCATCCTTCTGTTCTAATCTAACAGGTGTACTTCTAATCACATTGTCACATTGTACACATGCACCTCGTGCATAAGTCTTACGAGATTCAGACAGACACGTTTCCGAACAGAATTCCTTCTTGCCGTGTTGAGTAGGAAGAACATATTTCAATGGTTGTTTTGTCTCTCCGCACCATGTACAAGAGTTCTTTGATTTTGGTGGTCGACCTGGACCTATAATAAATATTTTCAAATTTAATTAAACTTTTTTTTTTGCATTTTCTTTGTACTTGTTAATCAAAACGTATAACCAAATATATATACATATCCTTCTCTAAAAAGGCATGTTACTTGCATTCTTGCCGCGATGTTGATTGGTTGTCTCATATATATAAAATAACTTTGAGATGAAGTAATAACGAGATACATATGAAGCGAATAATCGATGCAAGAGTTTATAAGGTTATTTTTGCAAATATTTTCACGTACCTCGTATTTTGCTCTGCGTGGACGACATGTTTCCGCATATAAGGGCAACGATTAACAGTGAAATCGCCACTAAAGCTAGCTAGTATAGCCAGATAAAATCATGTTCGCGCATGTAATATCGAAATAATTTCGAAGCTGCCGCAAGATTGGGACAGCGACGAAATCTTACACAAAGGCAGATCACCACTGCTAACACCCGTATAAGAGGCAAAATATTTTTTCTTACGGACTTCTCTATTTATTGTAATTTGATCTGCTGCCAGAGTATACAGCGTGCAATCAAAATAATCTATATATTCCGCATTATAAGCTATTGTGTCAGTCCGCCATATTGCTTCAATTTGGCCGCGCAATCCGCGCATAACAGCGCGAACGAGGAGTAAAATAAAAAGCAGGCGGTTTACGTCATCGAGATAATATAAATCCGTTTTTTGACTATAATATATTTTATTGAAAATTTAAAACAAGATATATTTATAATAACTAAATATTTTGGAAAAAAAGGAAAGAAGAATGAAAAATAGAAGAAAAAATGCAAGAAGTGCAGTTAAAAAGAACATATCTACACGGGTGCGTTCGGAAATGCTACGCGTAGGGTAAAGTAGCGTTTAATTGATCAATCAGCAAAAGATTAATTGACAAAAGCAGCAAAGGATGTTTTCCAGCAAGGTACACAGATGACACAGTGTAACACACAATACTTACCACATGATTGGCTGTCAAATGAAGAAATTTAAAATTCTGTATTTGATAGCCAATCGTGTGATATTAGGTCTGTTCTTTATAGCTGAACTGGCTGCACTAGTTCAGAGTTTATCTTTTTCTTTCCCCATTGGAAGGAGAAAGATAAGCTCTGAACTAGTGCAGCCAGTTCAGCTATAAAGAACAGACCCATTGTGTGTTACACTATGTTATCTGTGTACCTTGCTGGAAAACACCTAAATTCTTCGAAGAGAACTTCGAAAAGTTCTTGAAAGAGCTGAAATGAGATAGATTAGGTAGAAATAAGAGCATTGATAATGAGTATGCCTCGTCGTATGGAAGAGGTAATCCGGACTCGTGGAAGTCACACTCATTAATATAATACACTATCATTAACATATACAGGGTGTCCCAAAGCACTCTTGACAACGCTCGTGAGCAAGTAGAGCACAGTAAACTGAACAGAAAAGTCCTGTAACATTTTTTTCTATAATACTTAATAAAGGAGTTATTATTAAGTAAAGTCTGGCCAATCAGCGTCGACCTTTAGCCGCGCGCCTGATAGTGTGCGTGAGCGCTCCGTCGCTACGGCGACACACACTAACAGACGGGCGGCTCACTGACGTGCGTCCGGCTAAAAGTCGGCGCTGATTGACCAGACTTTACTCAATAATAACTCCTTTATTAAGGGTTATATAAAAAAATGGTACAAGACTTTTCTGTTCAGTTTACTGTGCTCTACATGCTCACAAGCGTTATCAAGGGTGCTTTGGGACACCCTGTATATATACACAAGTCAGTCATCGCCGATCTTTAGCCGGGCGCACGTCGGTGAGCCGCGCGCCTGGTAGTGTGCGTGAGCGCTCCATCGCTACGGTGACGCACACTAGACGACCCAAGACCACACTTAAGACGATCTTGAATATAAGAACGGACTATGAATACCGGCCATAGATGTGATTTCAAACAATCAATGCGATACATTTTAAATAGAATTGCAGCAGGTCGAATTGATAAGGGTGGCAGACACATTTTAAATCACATTCATTTACATAACACACATTTTAAATAATTTATAACATTATAAAACCTACTTTTTTCAGATTGACATAACTCAGTGAAAAATTATCGTATCGAGTTCTGCAAAAGCGCATTTTGAAAGAAGGAATTTGAACTTTAATATACGAGAAATAATATACTATAAGAAATGTTATAAGGATGTTCTCAGTATATTACATATATTACGTATATAGTATGAGTATAGAATATTCGAATGATGTGCTGTTAGTGGTATATATGTAATGTATATGTGTATATATGTATGTATGTATGTGAGCTGGCGCCACTGCCAGAATTGAGACGCGAGCAACATGCAACCGAGGTGGAGGGGATAACACACACAAGCGCAAACAGCGTACGTGTGAGCTCGGCGCTTCGGCTAGCTTCGGATAACAGAAGAGGACAGATGTACTGTTTTCTGTCTCTCTCCTTCCAATTTTTTTTTTAAATTTATGTATACTGGATATAAAAGTATTCGAGTAA